CCCCCGAGAAAAAAAAAAAAAAAAAAAAAAAAAAAGGTGTATGGAATCCACCTTCCTGCCTGGGTCCTGACCTCACCTTCCACTGCTTTTCTGCTCTGTCCCTGCTCGCCCCCTTAACTTTACCAGGTAGGCTCTGTCGTCCTAACTTTGCGCTGCCTTTCTTCCCTCTTTAGAATGTTCTTCCTTTGATATCTCTATCGGTAGTTCTCCCAGCTCCCGGAATTTTGCTCACGTTACCTTCTCAGGGAGCCTTATCTTGACTCCTTTTGCAGTTGGTCCTCTGTCCATCATCTCTCTGGCTTTTCTGGCTTCCATTTGTCTACTGAATTTTTAATTTCTTTTTTTATATTATTTAAGCTATGCATTATTGCTTTTTATTGCTTAAAATATGAATTTCTAGGATGACAGGGACTAATGCCTTTTCTTTCCTAGCATTAAGAGACTAAAAATGTTTCTGGCATACAGTGATACTCAAAAAATTTTGTTGAAAAAGAAATGAACAGTTATTAAGATGGCAGATAATAGAATACAGTCTTCTTAGTCAAGAACCAAGGATCTAAGTGCTCTATGTCTGGTAATGAGACTCAGACATACAATAAATAAAGGCAGAGGTCTAGTTTCTTTCTAGGCTTAATTATATAGGTCATAAACAGTGACTTTCTGTTGCACGGGAGTGAGACTTATTTATATGTGAGAAAAGTGTTTTTTCCTAGGATATGACCTCCTCTAAAATATCTCAGTCAAAGTAAACAACTCTCTCCTACTTTTGCTGCCTAACAACATTTGCCAATATTTTATAGTATGAAAAGAACTTCTTGCAGTATGGAATTTGGACTAACAGAATATATAGGGCCACGTAGAAGGTTTGGGATAATGTTAGGCATTTCACTGCATAGAGTCCTCAGGGCAATGTTCTCCAGAACAATCAATAATTGGAAGCCATCTAAATAGCTTTGTTCCCCTGAATAAGAACCTGGTTACTTTATCAAGGAAACAGATGTTTATTGCTTTCAGGCAGAAAATAAGTCAGGCAAGTTTACAAGGCCCTTTTCCATCTTGAAAGTATTTTTGTCAGCTTCTTCATCCTTGAAGAAAATTACCAAGTCAAGCCTTGAAAGGTAGATGATTAGTAGGTGTCACAGTTGGCATTGTATTTCTTCTTCCCAGCTGGTAGTGACCTCCTACTTAGAGAAAAACACATTTTTGACAACAGAGCTGTCTCGGTGCCTTTTCTTGGAGCAGGAAAACCATGTAACTGTATGCTAATGTCAAAAACCAAAAGAACCTGGCAGGAGGCACTCAGAATAGCTCTGATTGTGGTTTACAAACAATGATTCAATAGTTGGCCTTTATTATGAGAGAGAGAAAGAGCTCATATCCTTGCCCCAGAAGTAATTTGGAGCAGGATGAAAGCATCAACTAGAAAATGTCTTCATCCTTTTTGATTACCTAGAGCTTTCAAGGACCAATTTTATAGCTCCCAGGAACACTTAGGAGAGAACAACCGTTCTAATAAGTGGTCAGAGTCTCCGAAATCTAAGTCCAACGTGCAGAGCACACTCTGTAACATTCTCCAAATGCAGGGGGCTGACCCTGAATGTTCTAACTTTGAACCGTTTTAATAATGACTGAAAAAAATATGTGAAGTGAGTACATGGGAAAGAGTTGTAAGATTTTGTGTGCCTTTTGAGGTGCAGGAAAGCCAGGACCAAAGGAGCCTGAAGAGTCCTTCTCCACGCTGGAGTGTGTGCGTGGGAAACAAGTGGAGCGGGAATCCAAGCCCTGCGCGCAGATCCGATCAGTACGTGTTGCATACACGTTACTGTACGTCTATGTGGGTCTACCGCTATGTCAGGCTCTACGAACCCTTCCAGCCAGTGTCAGGGCTGCTTCACAGCCAGCCACTACTGGTAAAATGCACCAGCTGCACTTTGTCAGTGGACCGAGGAGACACCCAGTGTTGCCTCTGTGCATCCTGTTCAGTTCTCTGCTTTTTCTATGTGAGTGGGTCATACCTCCCCCAACATGAGTGACAGATCAAAGGTGATGAAAAGCATAGGATCTGGAAATAGTCAAACTGGATTTGGGGCCCAGCTTTGCATTTGGCAGTGGAAGGGAGAAAAAGGTGTAGGGAAGAATGGTAGCCCTCACATAGTTGCTGGGTGAAGGCCCTGTATAAAAGATGGATTAATAAGAGAAAAGTACCTACATTTAAGTAAGGGTTAGAGGGCTTCACATGGAAATGAAGTCCTACAGAAAAGTGTAAACATGTATATTTTTATATTTAAGAAGAAGTATGTGGTCTTGGACAATTATAATAGGATCAAGTGGGTATGACACAATGGTAATAAACTAGAGGAACTTAGCCAAGCCTATTTATTCAAATGCTTCTCTATCTCCCTGTGTCTTCAGAGATGTTCTTTTCCTCCAGTAAAGGAAGGAACCCCCTCCCTCCGATGAAGGTTTTATGACCTGTGGCAGGAGAAGAGGGTGAGAAGGTAAGAGTAGCCTTGCAGTTTCTGCTGCTTTCTCAGCTTCCAAGATGCCACATTTGGTGACAGCAATCACAGATGCTATCATCAGCTTCCAGTAAAGAGCCAGACATCCAACATTTCTGAGACTTAGATTCTTTATTCCACTGATGACCTCCAGCACAGGATGAACATAAGGATAGAGCATTGCAAGTGTTTGATAAATTAATGTTCTTCAAACACTAGTTTTCTAAGTGACATGTAACTGTGTAGGGGTCACAGTATAAGTCGATTATTTCATCTGATTTTCTTCGTCTTGGCTGGTCCCTCTCAGTCATTTTATCCTGAGAAATTGTGTTAGCTGGTGGGGAAGAAGCATATGAGAAAATTATATTTGTTCCTCATGAATACAGCTATTATTGTGCTTATGTCGCCTCTGCTTATCTAAATGTTATATTGATGAATGGCTGTCTATGTCACGTGCTCCCCAAAATAAGCTCATGAAGCTCATTTTAAATGTAATATCTGCAGTTTTCAGCATGTGCATGCAGAAGAATGCACACAATTTAATCAGGACCCCCAGCACTTCCCCTCCTTGGTATGTACTCTAGCTATGCAAATTCGTGCCTAGGATTTACACAAAAATGATTTTTGGTTATTTTCCTCCAGAGAAGTTCACACCTATAGATCTTCAGTGGGCTATGGAATAGTTCCATGA